AGCATCATATGACCCCTTTAAGTTAAGGTAAAGTTTAATATTTAATTCAGGGGTATACAATTAAAGTTACAAGAGGTCCGGTTCTTATATTTCCTTCCCAGCGGAGGTCCCAACAGACCCAGTCCCAACTTGCGAGTTCGAGTCTCAGGTCCGGCAGGGATAGTAGGTGGGGGGAGTGAATGTACAGCACTCTCTCCCACCTTCAATACCACGACTGAGGTGCCCTTGAGCTAGGCACCGAACCCCCAACTGCTCCCCGGGCGCCGCAGCATAAATGGCTGCCCACTGCTCCGAGTGTGTGTTCACGGTGTGTGTGTGCACTAAGGATGGGATAAATGCAGAGCACTAATTCCTAGTATGGGTAACCATACTTGGCCACATGTCACTTTCACTTCACTTTTACTTTAACAGTAGGGGGAAGAAAGAACAATGTCTATATACGGACAAACTGTTATACATTTACAAAGAAGTTTAGGATGTATAGGATCATTATGCATCACCCAACACACTGTTAAGGGAATCAAATGGAAACAATGACAGTTTAGTTATTTTATTTATCTGATATACTGAAGAGAACTTTTTGAAGTTTTTTTTTTTGCATTTTTGAGGTGTTCTGTTTTATTTTGGTTTTAGAAAATAAATGTGATTGCTCTCCTCCCAAATCAACTCTTCCTTGTTTTTCACTGGCATGTCTCTTTGACTAGTGCATCTTTGAGACTAGTGCATTATGCATTACTTTGAGTCAAATTCTTAAGTACTGTTACAATCAGATAAGACTTTTACTCCAGTTGTTTTGGGAATTGGTAACTTAATGGAGTCATTTTCACTGTAAGGTATCTGTACTTTTATTCAAGTATGGGGTTCAGGTAGACCTGAGTCTCTCCGATAGTGTGCGAATGCTGAAGTGAGTTCTATTTCACGTGTTCTTGAACTTGAACGGATAAATATGTCAGAAAATACTGGAATTTGCGAGTATCCTTGTAAACACATCGGTTATGTCTTAAGGGAACATAAACAGCTGAGGAAGAGCTCATCCGTATCATTATTAGATCCACTCGTTGTTGAAGTGACTTAAAGCCTGTTTTATTTAATTATTTATTTTTTGTATATTGTCATTTGTATATTTGTTCTATTATATTTTATTTCTATTGTGTGTCATTGGTTGTACTTTGTTTGTTTTTATTACTGACTTTACTTGTCTTATGTTTGATAATATTTTAACTTTGCATAAATTAGGCTAGTAGTTTTTTCTGTAACATCTAAATTGGTATTGAGCCATGCTTGAGGGTTTAACTCTGGCAAATGAAGACATACATACTATAATATCATATTATAATTTCACTACAGTAAAGTTTCCATGGTATTGAAAATGGCATCAAATATGGATATTTTTACACAATTGAATTGAAGTGAGAAATTCCCAGTTAGGTTTTTGAGATGTAAAAAAAGAACAATCCAAGAAAAATCATCTCTGATCCTTAAAATAAATAAATAAATAACCTAAATGCACAAGTAAGCAAAACTCTCTGCTGGCACTGTGAAAAAATAACACCATGATCAAATCTCTCAATCTCAGGAACTGAACCTGCTTAACAGGAAATGTCTGACAAAATGCCAAATAGGCATTTTTTCATATTTTGTTATATATTACCTTCTGTATATGTTACTTGAGGCTGCATGAGCCTTTATTGGTTTTAAGCAAATTAATGTTTTATTCACAATTCACCAAAGTTATTTACAGATATGATAAAAATATGCACTTTGTATTATAATGTTCAGATGTTTGCTACGTAACACTGAATGTTTTCATTGGTAAAATTATACTTCCTTTGTTAACAAAACAAAAAGTGTTGAAAACTTGTAACATTCTGCTTCATATGAAGCTTTTTAACTAATTTTAACTTTTTAAATTTTTGTACTGCCAAGTTCTTGCATTGCAAGGAAGATGGAGTCCTGGAAATCTCTTTGGCGCTGAGATTTGGAGTTGAGAAGAACAGTGGGATTTAGTTGGTGAAATTTATTATGGTTCTGTTAAATGCTCTTAGAAATGTTATTTCAGTGTCATACTTAAGTACAAAGTTCTTTAATGCCAAACCCCTCACCAAAATCTGTACTAAAATCTGTCCAAAGCCATAATTCTGAGTTATGCCAGCCAGGTAAGGACCCCTGTTATTGTAAGACCATAAGCATACTTCACTTTGTGGCTAAATTGATATTTAAAGTTAAGCTTAAAAAAGAGCATTTGAGTTGAGATTCTGGACACTCTATCAACGCTGAAATAAGAGTGTGTGGTTTATCTGTCAATCAGATGCGCATTAAAGTTGTGTTTGTTACCATATTTTGACCCAAACTGAATAATTAAAAACAGGTTTAAATGGGTAAATCTTATATACATATTTGATTCTTCATTCCCTGCTGGAAAAAAAAAACACAATAGAAACCATATTGTTTCTAATTGTTCTAATGGTTTCCACTACAAATACCATTAGCCTACAAATATTACAAACCATCATCTATTAACTATTAAAACCCCATTAGGATTTAGTGCTTTTAACAAGCCACCAATAGAAGGTGGAAAGACAAATGACCAGGGACCATTAGCCTACAGTTTCCATTCAAACCAATGGAATAATTATAACCAGTAAAACCATTACGAATTCTTTCTTTCTTTTTTTTCCAGCAGGGTTTTCTATCCTGACATGCTCCAAGACATACTTATCCTGTGCATCTTTAGCACTTTTTGTGTGAAAAATGTTTTGTCCATCAAAAGTGTGCTGTCACTTTAATTGAGCGCGAGAAGAGCAGCAAAGAGACTCGTTTTGGCTGCAACCCAGGCCATACATAACAGAAAAACACCTCGATGCTCTCGCTCTCAGCAAACTCTGACTCTCAACTCTCCCCACTCTCTCTAGCCCAACCCCCGGCTCTTAAAGTGAACATGGGACTAACAGCAAGAACCTACTACTAAATGACTAAATTATACTAAACTAAATATGAATAACTAAATGATACTATACTAAATTACATTGCTGAAGATCATCACATCAACCAAGTGTCTTCAACATTTGTAATGACATTATAGGATTGAACCTCCCAGATTACTTTCACTTAGCCTACTAGTAGGCTAAAACAGAGGAACAGCGCTTTTTTTTCTAGCAAACATTGAAAATGAAGCCAGTCTTTATTTTTCTCTTCTTGTTGTTTTGTGTTCTTGTGCATGGTAAGACATTTATATGTTACTATCTCTTTCCGGCCAACTTTAAAAGGAGCTGGACGCGTTTTCGCTTAATATCAGCTCTGTTAGCTTTATATTAGACAGACCACGTTTGCTCGACCACTGTAAGGCATTTCATATTAAGAATCTCTCTTCTGGTCAAAGATAAAAACGAACGTGACAGTATAATCGCAACAGTTTCACAGCACTTTGCTATTTTGCTGTGGGAGAGCGGGGCTCAACGTGAAGGCTGTCTCACACCGGACGCGTCGGGAACAGCTCAAGACGGCAGTCCAAAAAAAAAAACGGTTCACATCTAATCACAGGGGTGCAAAAATTCGCTTCAAGAATGAACCTAGTGTCGGCGCTGCGCTTCTCGTCCGGTGTGCGACGCCCATTTAAATGTTTCCACAGACGAGCATGACTAGTGTATTGAAACGCTATATAGAGAAATTGCGCTAACATTCGACAATCTTTGTAAGATATCACTGAACATTTAACCACAGCAAAAGTACATTTCTTGCTGAGGTTGTTTCAAGTCGATTTTTGTGTTTGACGAGACAATTTTGCTTTTAATCTCCAATTTTTTCAGCACTACAGTGTAGCCTACTAATGAAACAAGGCCACATATTTGTACTAAACGTGTGAAATGTGGGGAAAATGACATATTCGGAAACCGTTTACGCAAACTGAGAAAACCAACAAGTGTTGTGGCCCACTCTCCCACTATATGCATTTGCTGGCTTATAATTAATTGTTCATTTCTTCTTCAGGTTTTTCCGGTGTTGGGGCAGATATAGTGTCAGTGTCAGTGATGGAAGGAGATACAGTCATTTTATACACTGATGTCAAAACCATCCAACAAGAAGAGATTAGATGGTATTTTAATGACATTCGCATTGCTGAAATCACTGGAGATCAGCGTAAGATCTGTACAGATTTTCAGTGTGAAGATGCTGATGAGAGATTCAGAGACAGACTAAAGCTGGATCATCAGACTGGATCTCTGACCATCAGGAACATCAACACCACAGGCTCTGGACTTTATAAACTACAGATCACCAGCAGCAGCGACAGTCTTCTTCAGCTCTTCAGTGTTTCTGTCTATTGTGAGTCATTATGTCCCTTATACGATCACTTTAATATTCACCGTTCTTTCATGTCGTGTAGTTTGTTTGTTGGTTTCAGCAAAAGATCCTCCAGCAGCTGTTGGTTTGTGTTCCAGATGTTCCTGAACGAGAGAAAAGAGAAAGTCAGTGACGGAGGGAGAATCTGTCACTTTAGATCCTGGTGTAGTAAAAACCACAAATTATTTGATGAAATGGCTTTTTAATGACATTCGCATCGCTGAAATCAATGGAGATCTTAGTTTTATCTGTACAGATGTTCAGTGTTTATATGCTGACAAGAGATTCAGAGACAGACTGAAGCTGGATCATATGACTGGATCTCTGACCATCACAAACACCAGAAGTGAAGACACTGGACTCTATTATCTGCTGATAATCAGCAGCAGATTCAGCATCAGAATGATCTTTATTGTTGATGTTACTGGTGAGTGTTATTTAGTGATGAAACTCACAAAATATATCCATCTTTGATCTCGTAGTTGTCTGATCCACTATGTGAGAACTGCCTGTCTTGCACTTACTTACCTTATCACTCGCAAGCTCTATGATCTGTAGAAAAAATATTTTCACAGCACTTTCCTGAATGTTTTGTTTGGCTTATGATTATGTTAATTTTTTCAGGTGTTTACGGTGTTCATACAGACAGTGTGTCCGTGATGGAGGGAGATTCAGTCATTCTACACACTGATGTTGAAACAAATCAGCAAAAAGAGATTAGATGGTATTTTTATGAAATCCGCATCGCTCAAATTACTGAAGATCTCAGTTTTATCTGTACAGATGTTCAGTGTAAATATAGTGATGAGAGATTCAGAGACAGACTGAAGCTGGATCATCAGACTGGATCTCTGACCATCATGAACATCAGAACCACAGACTATGGACATTATGAACTAGAGATTATCAGCAGCATCTTAAATACGGATCATCAGAGAAAAGTCAGTAAAAAGACCTTCAGAGTTGCTCCACATGGTGAGTCATTGTTTTTAAAAGCATTGTACAGTTAGTAGTTTTAGTTTAGTTTTGTTTGTCGGTTGGTGTGTTAACATTTTGGGAGAAGATTTTTTTTTTCATCAAACCATCTCTGATCATCTTTTCAGAGGATTTGATGCAAAAAAAAAAAAAAAGTATGCTACATGAGCACAAAAAGTGGACAAATCTTGCTTTTCAGCAAGAGCATGAAAATTGCTTTCATAGCCACAGTTCTTTCATGTCGTGTGGTTTGTTTGTTGTTTTCAGCAAAAGATCCTCCAGCAGCTGTTGGTTTGTGTTTCAGGTGTTTTGGCTGCTCAACGAGATGAAATGAAGAGAAAGTCAGTGAAGGAGGGAGAATCTGTTACTTTAGACACTCGTGTAATAAAAAACCCAAATGTGATAAAATGGTATTTCAATCACACTCTCATCACTCAAATCACTGGAGATCTCAGTAATACCACAGATGATCAGTGTGACGGGAGATTCAGAGACAGACTGCAGCTGGATCATCAGACTGGATCTCTGACCATCACAAACACCAGAACCACAGACTCTGGAGTCTTTAAACTACAGATCAACAGCAACTACATCCACATCACTAGGAGCTTCAGTGTTACTGTCACTGGTGAGTATCATTTAGCCATTTAGTCATTTTCCGTTGAGCAGATTTAGAAAAGCAGTGAATGTTTTAATTGCGGCCTTTTTGAAAACGTCATCTTTGATTCAATGTTAAAATATAATCAAGGTCATCTCTTTCACCTTCTCATGCACATCAAATGATAAAACAAACAGTTTTTTTTTTTGTGCTGAGCAAAAAAAAAAAAAAATTGTGCTGCTGTTTCCTGTTGAGCTGTAGTACTATAATGTTTTAGCTGCTCTTCCTTTAAATACCACTAGGTTCTTTATCAGTTACATCAATATAATAAAACTATGGAAGCCCATTTCTGCCACTGAATAAAAAAAATAAAATAAAAAATGTAATTGCTACTTTTTGTCTCATAATTTTTTTCTTGCCATTTCGAGTTTACATCTCGCAATTCTGACTTTTTTTTCCCCCCCCTAAGATTTGCAAGATATAAACTCGCAGCTGTGATTTACAAAGTCAGAATTACACGATTATATCTCGTAGTTCTGTTTTTTTTTTCTCAAATTGCGAGTTTAGCTATTAGGTATTTTTAATTCAGTGGAAGAAACGGGCTTCCATAAAGAACTGATGCCCAAAGAAGAAAGCTCAGTCAAATATCAGTCAAAGATGTTTGGTAAATACAGGATTTCTCACTAGTATTAACGACTGTCTGTTTTCAGCTGACCTAACAGGAGTATATGCTGCTGTTTCTGCTGTTTTGCTGCTGCTGGTCGCATCTGCTGGTTTATTTTACTCTTGCAAGTGGCATTCAAGAAGGAACAGTGAGTGTTACATACAGCTGATTTGACATGATGGAAATTTGAGATTTTAAAAATCTTTAATTTCCATTTTTTTACTCTAACCAATGTAATGTGACTTTTTGTTGTCCAAACAGACATCATGAGGAAGTGTGCTGATCAGGTGAGATACTATCAAATTCAAAAGACTTTTTGTCTGTCTCTCTGCAAAACCAAACCAAAGCAAACAAACATAAAAACTGATTCAGATCTGTTTTGCAAAATTTGTGTGTGAGTGTGTATACGGTTTCATGTGTATGTTGTGGTATATGGTCTCTTGTATTTTTTGTTTAACTCGCATCAGTCCTGTTCGTTTCTTTTATTTTCTGTGAATCTTGATATGCCACAGCCATATCACCCTGCAACCCAAGACTGGTTGCCCACTGAAGCTAAGCAGGGTTGAGCTGGTCAGTACCTGGATGGGAGACCTTCTGGGAAAACTAGGTTGCTGCTGGAAGAGGTGTTAGTGAGGCCAGCAGGGGGTGCTCACCCTGTGGTCTGTGTGGGTCCTAACGCCCCAGTGTAGTGATGGGGACTATACTGTACAGTACTATACTGTAACAAAGTAGTTTAAAAAGCACCGTCCTTTGGATGAGACGTTAAACCGAGGTCCTGACTCTCTGTGGTCATTAAAAATCCCATGGCACTTCTCGTAAAGAGTAGGGGTGTAACTCCGGTGTCCTGGCCAAATTCCCTCCACTGGCCCTTGGCTATCATGGCGTCCTAATAATCCCCTTCCACTTGATTGGCTCTATGACTCTCTCTCCTCTCCACCTGTAGCTGATGATAAATGCATCATTCATCCATTCATTCATTATTTTCTTACAGGTGAATGTTGAAGACTCGTCCCCTGATCATACTGACTCTCTGTTGATGACTCCTGCCAGTCAGACGTCCCCGACTGAGACTAATGCTGCCAATGTGACACCAACGCAGGCCCGACTCTGGAATCAAATCACTGAGGGTGCTTCTTAAATTAGTGAGGGTGCTCTCTCTCTCTCTCGCTATATACATACATATATATATATATATATTTGTGCCATCCATTGCTATGGTGCAAGAGCGTTCCCTTTGTAATCACTAAAAGCTGTCACTCATCTTAGTTCATCACAATCTCACAAAGTTGCGTTATAATCAATGAAGTTCTCAATGCTGCACAATGAATCTCTTATTTACATCACGTTTAGACTTTGTTATAATGAGATGATTCCTGCTGAACACAACACCTGAACAAAAACTGCGGCGATTTGAGCAGTGAATGGATTCTAACTTAAACGCCTCTGATTAGATATGTCTGTGATTGGCTACATTGCCCAACGCTGCAAAAGATGTTAAAATCGAAACCGATCTTCAGAGCGCAAACAGAGGCGTAGCAATAGGGCAGTTAGGCAATAGCCTGCCCGACAGCTGACCATTTGAACAATCGGAAATGTCATTATTAAAGGGGTCATATGATGCGATTTCATTTTTTCCTTTCTCTTTGGAGTGTTACAAGCTCTTGGTGCATAAAGAAGATCTGTAAATTTGCAAAGACTAAAGTCTCAAATCCAAAGAGATATTCAACATGGAGCAGTATATCTGCATCCCCTCTCATGTTACGCTGGATGTGCTTGCTTTTTCTTCGTTTTCAAACTGGCACAGCGCTTACTCGTGCATTTGCTAATTTAAACATGAAGAGGACTTATCCGTCTGGCAGCCAGAAGCTGAAAAAAGCAAGAAGAGGAGGAAAAGAGGAAACATGACAGCGGTAAATAATGAAGATAAGACTTAAGGATAATTATATGACAAACAAATGTTTTTGTTGTTAATTCCAGCTTATTTTCATTTAATTATTTGCAAGATGAATTACTGGTAATAGGCCAATTACTAATAGGGTTACTGGGAAACAGGCTAGCTAGGGTTGCACTTAACAGCAGCATATTATTATCATTACATTTACTTAGTTGACATTATTTATTTAGCTCTTCTACATAAAATCAGTTGAGTTAACATAATTAGTTGTCAACTAATAAAACTAGTAAAGCTGATAAAAGCATTGGCACTAATTTCAGTTGAACGGAACATACGTTGGTCTTTGGATATGGAGGACATAGTGCCAGCATTTGCTGTAGCTAAGGCTCAATCCGTTACTGTAAATATGAAGATTGTAGTGTATCTTCAAGATTGTATTGTACAGTATCGTATCTTCTGCCATAAAGATGAAGATTGATATTTCGTTAAAGAATAAGCACTTTGTTTAAAAAAAAAAAAAAATTATGTTCTATTATGCGTTTTAACTACCTTTTGTATGTTGTATAAATATATATCTAGGTAACAAAGATATATTAGCAAAATAATCTTTTAGAAAGGCCACATCTATTAATTTTGCATGGGGCCCCCACTTCATCTTGGTTCGCCTCTGCATAAAGCACTGGATAGTTTGCCAAATCTGCAATGAAATGCCATTATTACAGCATACAGAGGGTGCTATTGATTTTGTTTGAGGGTGCTTGGCACCCATGTAGAACCGGGCCTGCACCAACGTAACATTATTCATTATTATGATACTTCATTCAAAGAGAGAGTGAAGAGAAATGGGAGAAGAGCATCAGCTAAACTCACTACACTCACAGAGAAATACTGTTTCACCTCGACACCAGCTTTAACATATTACAAAAACTAATTTGCTATAATTCATTTTTTAATCATTTAAATAATACATTTAAAAAATATTAATTCTGTATAAATATATTTACACAAAAGAGATGACAAGAAACGGCTTTCCTGCAACAGAACAAAGAGTGCTTGAGGTTTTTCAGTATATTTAGGTTCCTGATAATTTGATCCAGACAGGAACAGTGAGCAAATCTTTTTCTTTTCAGGATTTGTGTAATCATTAATAACAGCAGCATTTGCATGACATTGCAAGACCTGCAAGATGTTTTGCCCGTTTCTGTATACATTAGCCTACTTCATGACTGACTGTGAACATGAATACTTAACATAAAATTAACATTTTGACCAAGAAATGTCATGCTGAGTGCAAGACAAGCTCTCTTTACAGAGCAGCTGTCTGATACTGGTAATGTTACATCTTTACAGTTTTAGTATTATCTTGACAACACTAGAGAGGAAACACCCTGATGAAAACACCAGTATGCCGTTATTCCCAAGATTCACGTTACTCTAAGATGGTGTTTTCAGCAGGAATCCTTTTATTTATGTTAAAGTCGATGTAACGATTTGTGTTTTTACTTGTTTGTTTGTGAAATCTCACCATTGTATCCATGATTAAAACGCTTGAGTCTCAGGATCTGAGCCTGTAATAACTGCGCTGAAAGACACTGAAGCAACAGCAAACTGCCAAATAAGTATTTTTGTAATATATTGTTATGTATTATGTTCCATAACTGTTCCTGATGCACAGATTAGCACAATTTACTTGTGCTAATCTGAATGTAATTTAAGCACATTTCATAAAATAATTATTTATTTTTTATTATATAAACATTTTTTATTATAATCTTCAGATGTTTGCGGCTTGTCCTGAATGTCTTCATTATTGAAATCGATATCTCATTGTAAATTGTGATTCTTTGTACTTTGTTGTAACAAAAATGTTGTAAATTGTAATGGTCTGTGTTTTATGAAGCATTTGAGATGCAAGAACTTTGCGAGGATGAACATGGAGACCTGTAGGTCATTCGAGGTAAAGGTCCACTCTTTCACATCATCTGTCTGTTATAGATGTTTTCTCCAGCTCATGGCTCATTTCAGTTCTTGAAGTATGTTCAGCTGTGCTGTACCTGGTTCTCTCAGGTTTCTCCTGCTGGATTCACCCGTTCAAAGAGCTCGTTATCTGCCTACAGAACATCAGCAGATCTCACTGAACTCTGAACTATGGACTTCCTGGTTACAAGAACAGCATGATTTAGGATTGTCATCATGGTGTCAGTTTTTGTAAATGCTCTCAGAAAAGTCATTTCAGTGTCAGAGCTGAAGTACTGTAAATAAGCCAAACCCCTCACAAAAACCTGAACCACAACCTCAGTAGAAGACAAAAATCAGGTCCCTTGTGATCTGAGCTGAATATTTTTTATACATTTATATATATTTGTTTTCTGTAAGTTAAGTCAACCAGGGAGTAAGTGCTAAACTTGAGAATGCATAAACACTAGTTTCTTAAAGGAACTTGTAAGATCTTTGTATGTTCATGTGACAAGTGTCATTAAAAACATCTGATTTAACTCATAACGCCTGGAATCCGAATTTGTTTGTCATTAAATAGTTGTGTTATCACAAATAAATGAACTAAGTTACATTGAATCATCTGTAGTGATCATTAGGTGCGTATTATGAAATGTGATTTTAACAGTCTCCGATGCACTGAATTGCAACTTAACCATTTTAGATCCAACCTTTTGCTAAAGTTTTGCTAAAGTTCAACCATCCATTGATTTTGCTCCAATCCAAAGGTTGATCTTGTAGGGAAAAGGCCATCTGTTCTTCTTCTTTATTATGCAGAGCTGAATCTTGATTTTTTTTTTTTTAAGAACAAATGTTTTGTTATGATTTATTTCACTATTCTGAACAGAAAACACTTTAATTTTGTATTTAACTGAAGATGAGGGGAAATAGAAAAAAAGGATGCGCTGGGTTTGATAGACTCAGTGGTAATGAACATCAAACTCCACCATCCAGAGGTCTCATTATTTCAGCATCAACACAAAAGCAACAGAACAAATGTAAACATGGAGCAACTAGAGGAAATTACATCAACATCTGTGTCCAAGGAATATGCTACTTCCAAATGCACCGCTCTACTTGCCATACAAGTAAAAAAGAACAAATGTTTTGTTATGATTTATTTCACTATTCTGAACAGAAAACACTTAAATTTTGTATTTAACTGAAGATGAGGGGAAATAGAAAAAAAGGATGCGCTGGGTTTGATAGACTCAGTGGTAATGAACATCAAACTCCACCATCCAGAGGTCTCATTATTTCAGCATCAACACAAAAGCAACAGAACAAATGTAAACATGGAGCAACTAGAGGAAATTACATCAACATCTGTGTCCAAGGAATATGCTACTTCCAAATGCACCGCTCTACTTGCCATACAAGTAAAAATCACTCCATAACGTTTTACAGTACTACGTCCTCTTCTAACTTCGATAGGACCGAAGTAATCCACCCCAGTATTTGTAAAAGGTGGAAGATCAGGTGTAATTCGTTCAAAAGGCAAATCGGCCATTTTTTGCTCACCTGTCTTTCCTCTGTAACGTCTGCATACAATACATTTGGAAATGATCTTTCTTACAGCGGCATTGGCATTTGTAATCCAATATGTTTGTCTCAATTTGGACAACATATGATTCCTGCCACAATGACCCAATTGTTCATGAATGTGACGAAGCAGAAGATTCGAAATATGGTGATTCTTGGACAAAATGATGGGATGTTTGGATTCAATAGGCATAGCTGCCTTCCTGAGTCTTCCTCCTACTCTTATGAGTTCGTCATCCAATACAGGGTCCAATCTGTATATGCTGCTCTCCTTCTTGACTCCACGGGAACTGTGCTTTAGTTGTTCAATCTCGTCTCGAAACTCTTGTTGCTGACTGAAACGAACAATGGCCATTTCAGCCTCAAAGAGGTCTTCCAAAGACTGTCCACCCAGAGTTGCTTTGAACAACTTCATTTGGGCATCTATGATTGTTTAAGTAGCATTGCAATTCCTTTCCAGTGACAGTAATTCCTTCCTTTTGAGACATATCTTATTCAATAGCTTCTTCATCTTGAGTATCCAAGCGACTGCCACTTTCAATTTTTTCCAATCTGAAAAATAAGTGATAAAACAGTTACTGGCATTCTGTCTACCCTGCAGGATCACAGTATTCACTCTAAGATCTTTCTTAATCTCTGGATCACCATCATGCATGTTCACAATTTCCTCCTTTGGGGCTGACTGATAATCTTCTGCTCTCCAAAGAAAGCTGGGATCTGCAATCCATCTTTTACTG